CCATTAGGTTGAATGATACGAGAAGAATCGAGACTCTTATGGTCTTTTTTTTGGGGGGGGGGGTGTCCAAAGAGAAAGAAAGAAGAAAAAACACACTCCTCACCTTTCCAGCCCCTTGTTATCAATTCGCACACAAGACATAAGCTGTCGTTTTACAGTTTCTGTGGTAGATAAGCTGCCATGTTACAGCTCCTTGCAAGTTACAATTGACTGCCAATCGCCGTTTTTTTTTTGTTTCTATAAACTCTGTTAACATGTTTTGAACAGCCAATAACGATTGCTGTACTTCTGTATCATCTCCCACTCTCACCTTCAAAGCTGCAGTGATTCAGTCTACTTCTCATTGTTTGGCAGACAAACCATGATAGGTCTCTTCACGTGTCACGTAACTAATCTTGTGTGCATATGTTTATACATGAAGTAATCTACAAATACGTGTGTGGAGGTCATAATACGATGACCAGTCCGTTTAATTTACAAGATGGTTTGTGGGGATAAATAAACCGCGTGGATCGTAGGTTTCATTTTACCCATAAGTAAGTTTGTTTTACATTCATTCTATTATGTTTAAATACTTTGATCCCCCCCCCATCTTTACTGGAGACCACAGTAAAAATAATTTCAAGTCACTGATTACTGAATTTTCAAGAACTGTTTATAAGAGATGGTTTAATGGTCTATGTTTCGAGTTATCAACTTAGTTCGTACTCGGGAGTTTTCTAATAAACTCAAAAACGAAAACACAATTTTTACAAGAATGCGTATCATACTATGAAGTCGTTATAACAACTCCGGCATGGCTTACCATATTAACATTCATACTTATGGAACGTACTTTTAGCGGTGAAGTTACACCCAAAGGTTGAAAGCTGTACATCTTGGTGTTCCAAAAGTCAAGGCCACGAAACTAACAAACATGATTGCCCGTCGGTGACAGTAGTCACGTGAACATTAACAGGTGTATCAACAAGAGCTATGGACCCATCTAGGGTCGGCTCCTTGCAGTAAGAGTAATTAGTACAGCTCTGACGAAGAAAATAACCGAAGGCTTTGAAACAAGTGTAGATAAAACAGGAAGATCGGATATTTACTGCCCTGTTTTGTTGACTATCACAGAATCAGAGTTCAGTAGGAAAACTTTTTGGCTACTTTCTTAACAGGTATTTCAGTTAGTCGTATTGTCGAGTAGCAGTTGGTGACAAGTCGATACCCGTATGCTGATACCACAACTTTTCTTAGGACTTTCTTAACCGTAATAAGTTTCCCATTTCGACCACTTACAGGAAAAGTCGCTGTTATATCACGACTTCATGCGTGTGAAATAGGACAAAAACTACCAGAGGCAGCTTGACGAGATGATTATTGACTGGTTTACTTTCCAGTTGTTCCAAAAGTGTTGTTATAATACAGATTACAACGTTCAAGTAGCTTGGATTTCTCAGGTACTCGTGGGTTAAGACTTTAGCTTTTGTTAATACTAGTAATAAATGACCAATTTTTCTTTAACTGGACAGGACACTCAGCGTTTCGCTTTACACATTCTTCAGGAGCGTTCCACTAAAACACAAACCGTAACTGACAGTACAGGGCTTCAAATGGTTTGAATAATTAAAATTGTTCTGTCAGTTACTGTTTGTTTTGTTGTAGCGAAACGCTCCTGAAGAAGCTAGTAAAGCGAAACGTTGAGTGTCTAGTTAAAGCAGAATAAGAAACTTGGTGTTATAAAGTGGTGTATTACTCGTTTTAATAGTATGTCTTCTATACACTAATATGCAGTACAGGAATTCAATAAAGACTTTAAAAGTCAATTGGTGATGACTTCTTAGGACAGGTGTCACGTGTGATGGGTCAGCACAATAAATATACGTAAACGAAACAGAGAAGCGCGTTAAAAAGGTTGAATAAACAAACATGTTTGTTACTATGGTTACCTCACGTACTTTATATTTAATGAAAATGGCAGGATGTTAACGTGACAGTATAATTATTTTGTTGTGAACGACTTTTAAAACGCTTAGTTTTCTTAGTGCGATC